GGAAGGAAGGAAGGAAGGAAGGAAGGAAGGAAGGAAGGAAGGAAGGAAGGAAGGCTGGTTATGTAAGCAAGCTGAAGAAAACGCAGAGCTGTAGAGACATCCTCAGATGCCTGCATCCACATAATGAAAACCACTTCAGCTTCCCTTCCTTTGCCTCTCATCTCCATTTCTATTTCTGTGTCATTATTATTCAGACCAGCTGTTCCTATGAGTCTATGACTGATAATGACAATTCCAGGCTTACAGACTCACAGACTTTTAGCCAAGGAGAAAAGGGAGGGGTTGGGGGATCTTATTTAGTGGATCTGTTAGAGAAAAAAATCATAGACTCCCTTCAGAAGAGGCTAGAAAATTAACTCACAGAAGTGTTGAACATGGGAGTTTTAAAAAATTGAACATTTGCTCTCAGTTAGTACTCAAAGTCTTGGGTTCCATCTCCAGTACATAAACAGGCCTGTTATCCCAGCACTCAGGAGGTGGAGGAAGGAGGATCCGGAAGTTTAAAGCCATCTTTGGCTTCAGAGTGAGTTCCAAGCCAGCTGGGACACACAGCGCTGTATTACAAATGGAGAGAGGCTAGAGCAATAGCTCATCAGTTAAGAGTGCACACCTCTCTTGCAGAGGACCTGGATTTGGTTCCCACCACCTACATTGACTGGGTCCAGCTCCAGAGGATATGATGCCCTCTTCCAGCCTCTTTGAGCAATTGAACTTAGATGCACATATCCACACAAAGATACACATGCATACACAACAACAATAATTTTTGAAAAAAGCATAAAGCAAGCATTTATTGCCTGCTTTTTTCAATCTATAATCCAAGACAAGCAACAGTTATGAGGAAAATTTGTTGTTATGTAATTGCAGTAATGAATCCATAAAGAGGATACTCTCCAAATCCTATCTGTGACTTTAAAAAGTCCACATCATCAGGAATAATAACAGACAGCCTATCTTTGCGTCTACCTTTCCAGAAATATCAAGGTGGGATGTTGGGAGGCCATGATGACTGGTCAGAGGTTGCAGTCTATCATGGCCTGGCAGCTTTTTCCAAAGCCTGAGGACATGGGGACTCCCTCCTCCCTCAGCAGAACTTCCTGCTCTCTACCTGCCCTTATCTGGAGACTGCCCCTGAGCCTGGAGGACTGACCTTATCTGAGAGCAGTCCCTAAGCCTGGATGCCTGATTTATCTCTAGGGTGACCCTTGCTACAGTTTCCTGCGAGAGGCCTCCTCTGCTGCACATATGGTAACTAAGACTTTTGGTAGGAGCTTTGCTATGGGACCCTGATGTCACACAGGAAGGCTTATGACAGGAGCGTGCCACTTAAAGTAAATTAAGGTTTGTCCCCAGGCTTTCCAACCCTATATATTCCGTATACTCTAGAATAAAGTTGAACAGATTTACTGAAGTCATCTCCTGGAGGGCTTTCTCCATCATACCCACAGCTGTCTGAACCTTGTTCCCCACTCCTGCTCCCTCTTCCTCATGGACTAGTGATTCCCAAGGAAGAAGCAGAACTACAGTTGGATCAGAGGCTTGTGAACATCCAGAGGAAAGGTGGAAGGAACATGGGACAGTCATTTTTCTCATTTCTACAGTGATGAACAAAAGACCCAAAGTTCTCACAATCAAAACTATTAATATTTCCAAAGTCACAAAGGCTCAGATCCAAATCCCAGATCTGTTAGGTCCTAGACCCTCAGAAGTCAGATCTTTTTTTTTCTTTATGAAAAGGAGTAAGCAATAGTGATTTTGGCTTTATGGCATAGGAGTTTAGCATCCGTAACTGATATGTAAATAAGCATAGCTGGCTATGTTCAAATAAAGCTTTATTTATAAACACAAATGGAGGGCCATAGTTAGCCAACTCTCATTCTAGACCAATGCATTGTGTAAATCTGAGAAAATTACCAGGATAAGAATTGGAAAGACAGAACTCTGTGTTCTAGTGTATCACGGAAGATACAAAAAACAAACAAACAAACCTTGGATGGGCTGGTCTCTGAGGACCTTCTCATCTCTAATAAACTGGGACTCTGGATCTATCCATCAGATAGTGGGTGCAGTATGTCCTGGGCTAAATCCCACAGTGCTTTGGAAAGAGACTGAACATGCTCAGCAACTTGGTTGAATTTCTGGTTTCTCCTCTACAGCCCGAGCATTACCACTCTAAACACAGTGATGGAAGCCAAATGAATGTGCTGTACTATGCAGAGACCCACAGAGACAGCTACACATAGTAACCCACAAACAAACCTACATTCTTACTGAAAGCCACCGACATGTCAGAACCAGAGAACAAAACTTACACAGAGTCACGCAAGCATGAAGACACGGGAGAGACATGCAGGTATACACAAAGGCAGATGACACGCACACAGCTTACAGCCTATATTACCAAACTCAAAGGTTCTAAAGTCAAAGGTCATGATCTTTTTCAAAGTCTGACTAGTTAGGCTATAAGCCCTAGACCATCAGCTCCTCCATACGTATTCCTGATTAAAGTCCAGGGCATGAGGGGTCAGGAGAGAATGTTTCATTTCATCCAGACCGCTGTAACAAAGCACCATAGACTGCAAGACTCTTAAATAACAAATGTTCACATTCTGGAGGCTGAAGTCTGAGATGCATGTAGGACAACGCTATTGTCTGCCGATGACCCAAATGCATCATAAATGGCTAAATGGCTTCTTTGTGTTGTTTTTTTACCCAAAGACAGGATCTCCATGTAGACAGGCTATAGATAGGTGTAGCCCTGACTGTCCTTGAACTCACTCTGGAGAACAGGCTGACCTCACACTTAGAGATACACCCACTTCTGCCCCCTGAGTGCTGGGATTAAGGTTAGGGTTAGGTGCGCCCCACTGCTGCTCAACTTGTGTTGCTGCTTTTTTAAGGTGAGTGGGGTGGGGCCTATGAGATATCTTATCAAGTGAAGGTGCTTGCTACCAAGTCTAATGAGTTGAGTTATATCATCAGTACCCACTTGGTGACAGGAGACAGCTGACTTCCACTAGTTGCCCTCCAACCTTTACATGTACATACACACACACACACACACACACACACACACACACACAAATAAAAATACAATTTAAAAAATTGACGCCAACCAATGAGACTAAAGAAATGGTTCAGGAGTTAAGAGTACTTGTTGCTCTTGCAGACAGAAGACCAATGTTTG